ATTGTTCTCCCTGCAAACACCCTCTTAACCCTTCGATAATTTCCCTGTCATCCACATTGAAAGGGTCTTTTCTCAGTGACCAATGGTGCTCCTTGTCTTCTATTAGGTTAGTAAGCAGAAGATTGTTCACGGATCTTCTAGATTAGCCATCACCATCTTTTCAACTCTGGCCTGTTAGATTGTGTCACTGCCGGTAAGACCATTCACCTAAGTGATTTATGTTTAAAACGGGGGTATTCTTTCTAGCTTATGGTCTCTGTGGTCTACTCAGCTTCAAACAGTAGAGCTTTTGATCTGTGGAAAGGGAGTCGAGGCAATCACATCTTTCAGTGCTGTTCTCAAGGTTGAGTCAATAACCTGTTAATGCACCTGCAGGGCCACGTGCACGACTCGAAAATTGGGAAGAGAAGTTGAGCGATATAAAATTCCACCTGGGTTTGCTGAGAGAGTGTCTGTTGGTCCATTGTTGTCCAAGTGATAGACACTATGAGATCATTAGTAGACACTCACCTAAAGGATTATAAGGAACACCATACTAATACTGTGTTTGACCCCCTTTCGCCTTCAGAAGTGCCTTAATTCTACATGGCATTGATTCAACAAGGTGCTGAAAGCATTCTTTAGAAATGGTGGCCCATATTGATGCTCAGGTAGGCCGTGACATTTAAACGATATCCAATTGGCACTAAGGGGCCAAAAGTGTGCCAAGAAAACATCCCCCACACCATTACACCACCACCACTAGCCTTCACAGTGGTGACAAGGCATGATGGATCCATGTTCTCATTCTGTTTACGCCAAATTCTGACTCTACCATCTGAATGTCTCAACAGAAATCGAGACTCATCAGACCAGGCAACATTTTTCCAGTCTTCAACTGTCCAATGTTGGTGAGCTCTTGCAAATTGTAGCCTCTTTTTCCTATTTGTAGTGGAGATGAGTGGTAACCGGTGGGGTCTTCTGCTGCCCATCCGCCTCAAGGTTGTGCGTGTTGGGGCTTCACAAATGCTTGTGCAGTGGCTTTTATACATTGCATATGCATGTGCAAAAAAATAAATAATCCAAGCTTCTCAGGCTGGTCTGATTTGATGGTTTTAGTGGGGGAACTTTAGGTAGGGAGACCATCTACACCAGCTAAACACCAGTAAACCCCATCTGCATTATTTTCCCCAGGTGAACCCAGGGGAACAACACAACAATTGTCTGGGTTCTGACTTTAACTCATAATTATGAGTTTCTGAGTGACAGCATCCACATTGAAAGGGTCTTTTCTCAGTGAGTGCAATTCTGACTTTAGAACTTTATATATCATAGAATACTGAGAAAAAAAGTTAGAATTGCAAACAGAGTTTTATTCAGTGGCGGAAACAAGCTTCCATATAAAAATGACAATGGGGTGTTCACTCAGAAAATACAATGATTATCCCAGAGATAAAGGTAGCATTAAATTTGGCTACTCGTGTGTATAATATAACAAACAAACCAGTCATGATATTTGGTTAAGTTATGATATAAGTTCCAATCAATTAAATATATATTTTAAGCACCAGGGTGCAAGTACATGTAATCTCTATTCTATTCCTATCAACTAAATTGTGGCACTTCATCCACTTTAATGCAGTTCCTTAAACTCATCTCCTATGGTGCAATGGGCAACACTGGCATCTGTCATAATGTTTTCTTCTGCAATTTGCCTGCTGTTATAAACTACATCAGCCTCCATCTGTCTGCAGTCAGAAGGTGAAAATAGAAAAGCATCAGTGAGCTCACAGGGAGAAGACCAAGTGTTGTGTTATTAACACCCGCCCATGACATGCACATGAGACTAAACAAAGGAGAACAAAAAAGAACAAAGGAGTGAATTTAAGGAGGGAATAGCATTTACCATTGTTTATATTTGAACAAACCTCTAACCTTAAGTATGCTACGTTCACACCGGATGCGAAAAGCGCGTCAGACGCGAATGATTTCAATGTTAAGTCAATCCAAAGACGCGTTATGCGCGTGAAAAATTCCCGCGGCGCGAATGAGGCGTGGAACGTGGCGCGGCAAATGGTGAAACTAGCCAAACGGTTCGCCTCCAAAGGGTCCGGTGGACACAAATACGGCCACGCCGCTGTTCTAGCTCTCCAGAGCAAATGTCTCGATGAATGCTCGATCAACATAAACAAAGATGGCCGTCAACGGGTTTCAGTTTTGACGCGCGTAAATTTCGCTTCAAACTTTTTATTTTACCCGCGTCAGTTTCGCTCTTGACGCGCGGATAAACACAAAGTGGTCAAGCGTCAAACTAGAAGCGGTAGACGCGAATTCGACGCGTTATTCGCGTCCGGTGTGAACGTATTAAACTCAGAGCCCGTCTACTGGAGAGCCTGCACTTCCTATTAGTCCCATTGTGCATCACCTTGGTTGCAGTTCCATTAGAATTCCACTGGAGGTGATCGCGGGCGAGAGCAAAATAAATGGGAGTATATGGGGCTAAACGGCTAAAACGTGTCTCTTTCACCTGCTTGTCGTTAAATTAACATAGATTTTATTGTTGATTCCGCAAGTTCAATATAGATTATAGGCCAAAAGTCGAATGAACGAGTACTTATGTCCTTTTGATTTCTTACAGGTTAGGCTGTTGTTGGCCGGAACACGCTAGCATTCTGCTATTGTGTGACGTCATCACATTTTTGAACGGATTTTTAGAACAGATAAGTGAACTTAAAAATACAATTTCCAGCTGAGTGTATTATCTTAGCCCTCCATTTTGAATGCAACTTTCAAATTACTTGACAAAAAATTACATCCTGAGAAAAGTGGATTTATGGGGGTGAAACCCCATTGACTCCCATTCATTCTGCACTCGACCGCGAGCGCCCCCGCATGGACAGAGATGTGTTACTGCAGCCAGTCCAGAACCCGGAAGTAACCAGCCAGTGCCAATTCTCTTCAATTAGACATTCTCTGTTAAACTTACGGTTTAACCCAGAAGTGCAGCGCCGCGTCGCGCAGTGCCATATCAAAACCATAAATAGGGCTATACTGCCCTCTTGTGTCAAATTATATTTCTAGATTTATTTTTCCAAAAAATAAAACCAAACCACAATAACCCATCCAATACACCTTTGAATTCAACAGACTCAGTAGCTGTGCGGAGTTGATAAAGCGTTGGGCTTTAATCAAGAAGACTTGAGTTCAAATCCCGTTCTTTCTTTTGTTAAATTGTTGTGATTATGTCAAACAAAGTGATTATATCAAACAAAGTGGCAAAAACAACCCGGTATCACGACAAGACGTGAAACGTTGGTTCACTTTGGAAAACGTGTAGATGTCACGGTTTAACCCCCTCAAACGTGAAACTTACACTGAAACTTAAACTTACCATAACGACCTATTGGTTTTCATTAAACCGAGAAAAATGGGATTTTGTTTTATTGACGATCACTGAGAAATGGTCTATTATTTAAAATGCAAAAAACATTTATTATTTTCAAGGTGAAAAAGACACGTTTAGCCATTACGTTTTAAATGCATCATTATATTCAAATTGCAAACACATGAGGAGAGCATGAAAGACCCACAACTGGCAGATGAACGTGCGCTCCGAAACGGTAGGAAATAAAATTAGATAGAATGGAGGATTTTAACTGTGACAAGATGATTGACAGGGCAGTTTACGGTGACAGGATGCACGCAGCACGCGACAGAGCTGTCCGTTAAAGATGACGTGATAGTATGTCCCAAAGCTTGCCTACTCTTTTGCTACACACTCAAAAGTATGTACTTTTTCCTCACAAAAAGACTACATACTTTTAGGGCGTAGTATAAGTAAGCGAATTGGGACGCAGCATATGTTACGAGTGAGCGAGCTGCCTGTGACAAGATGGCCTCCACCTTGGATGCTAGTGCAACCGGACATAGATATAAATTTACACAAGAATAGAAAGGAAATGGACAAAGTGGTTAGTATTAATACATATGTTAATGACTATATTAAAAACTCACATTACTCATTTCTTCAAATATATACAGATGGATCAAAGAATATAGAGACTGGAAGGACGGGGATTGCTTTTATATGTCCCAGAGTTTAAGGTGAGGAAGCCTGGTAGAATAACAGATGGCACATCAGTATACACAGCTGAGATGACAGCTATTTTAATGGCAATAGAGTGGGTTTATGAAGTTAGACCAAATAAGGTAATAATATGCTCTGACTCAATGTCAGTTCTTGAGAGTTTACAATTATTAGAAACAAAGAGAACTGATATTTTAACAGAAATCATGATCAAGTTATACAGTTTACGACAGGTGGGAATAATAATTCGTTTTATGTGGGTTCCAGCACATGTGGGCGTTCAAGGTAATGATCGAGGAAGCAGACAAAATAGCCAAAGAGTCATTAAAAATGGAAGAACCAAATATAAACATCTCACTAAGTAGAGCAGAAGGGAAACATTTAATTTTAGAAGCGTGCTATAGGAAATGGCAGACACTTTGGGACTCATGTCATACAGGTCGACATTATTATAAAGTCCAAAAAAAACATAAAGCGAGGCAATATAATCCACAACCTAAGCAGAAGAGAACAAGTCATTTTCACACATTTAAGAACAGGACATTCAAATCTAAATAATACTTTACACATTATAGGGAAACATGACACAGGTTTATGTGAAGTTTGTTCAGTAGAGGAGACAGTCGAACATATATTGAAGGAATGTAAGTCTTATAATAAGGAAAGGAGGATTCTTAAGGAAGAATTGCAAGCAGTAGGATGTCAGGAATTCAATATAACCAAATTATTAGATGATGGTCCAAACTCAGGGAAACAGATAAAGGCAATCATGAGATTTATTAAGAATAGTGGGTTATATAATAGGATTTAGGAAAATTTAGTTCATTCTCGTCACACTCCATCACAGTAGGTGGCGGTATGCACCTTTAAAGTTGGTTCGCAACCCGCCATAAGACCAAAAGAAGAAGAAGAAGACAAGATGGCCGCCAGGTGCAGACGTCGACCTGCATTGGCCAGCAGCGTGGACGACATATGGTTCATACATCCGATGGACAGGCTACTCTTCTATCCCAGGAGGCCACGGGAGAGCATACGTCATTATCAACATCGCGGAGATCAGCGGGGGTTTTCAAATGTGAGTAAACACGGTTCCTTGTGTTTAAATCGTATGTGTTAAACTAGTGTGATGAATGGCGTGGGGGTGTATCTTTTTGTGTTGTTTGGCGTTGGTTCCGCCCGTCTGAACCTTTTCGTAGATGTCCTTATTGATGATCGATCTCACCTGGACGGGAGGACAGCAGAGGGGAAGTTCGTGGGGACGTGATTGGCTTCTCGCGCTCGGAGGGAAACGGGGACGCTTTGTGTTGCTCGAGACCATTAGGGTTTGTCCGGCAACGAAGATAGCTAGCTAGAGAGACTTCATCGGTGTAGTAATAGTGGGACGGGGGTATACATAGTTCCCACATGACGTCACAACATACGGGCATTTGCCGACCCGGCGCCATTGCTTAGGGCAAAACATAAGAAGAAGCAATACGAGTTGAACGAAGTGAAATGAGTTTCGTGCTATAAAGTGAAAATGGTCATCTCCTGCTGAGTCAATGGATGATAAAATCGTGCCGGAGGTTCAGTTAAATCAGGATTTTACACTATACCCGTCATTAGACTCCATATGGATGTGAGAAGACTAAGCTTTTGTCCGAACAACGACAGAGATTATGGCTGGCGAGCATAAACAGGAAAGAAACTCACTCAAAACACGCAAGAATTTGTTTGACAAAAGCACAATGTTGTGTTTTATTGCGAGTGTAAATAAATATAAGTTAACACGTTGCAGTTTGAATAATGTCCTGAACAAAATGACGAGGTATTAAAAACATACAAAACAACATTGTTTCCACTGTTTGATCTCACATTCCAGCATTGCAATCTCAGATTATGTCCCTAAAGATCCCGCGTATAATGTAGTTCCTCATTACATTAATTAAATTGCACGCGAGTTATTTATTTTAATATTCATGCACCGAACCATGACGCCCGCAAGTACATGCATATAACAGAAATCACCGGTGACTGGGGAACATAGGAATTAAGTTGTGCAGGCTATGGCTTTTTAATAGACAGATTAGCATCATGCTACTTCGCTATGATGACTTAAGTTACTTTTCCATTGATTGCACTTGAGCAAACGTCACCAAACCAACCCCACGTCAATCTGATCGTACACCTCCAGTGTTTTCCAGGCTTGGAATTGCTCACATGTGTAAAAACTCTTCACCAATACCAGATAATTGTACACATGAAAATACTGTATCTGAGGCAAAGTTGCATAATCGGTGCTCAGTGCTTCTTTTGTTGCATAAGGATACACACCATTTATGAATGAAATTTTCGCATTGTACCTCTCTATGTCTTGTTTTAATAGTCTCTTTATAATCTATTACACTTTGTCTTTTCATGATTTGCATAACAATATAAACAGACATAAATATTTGTTTGTAAAACGACATTCTCTGATAAAACGTTGTAAACGCCTATGGTAAACACAGCGGTTTTGCCCTCAAAGATGGCGTCTCCGGGGAGGTCACGTGACAATTTTTTTTGCCTGTGGGAACTATGTATAGGAGCGCTGGACACTTGTTCCTGGAGCGATTAAAAGAGCTGCGTCTCGCATAAAATAAAGAACTCGTGCAGAACCAGTGATCCTTAAAGAGAACCTAGCGTGAGGAGGACTAATTAATGCCATTATTGTGATTGCTGTGGCTGGGACGGACAAACAACGCGTGCTGCCTCTGTGGACTATTCATCACGGCTGATTCCGTTCCCCGAGACCTCTGGGCGGGGTCTTATTTGCCTGGAAATCGGGGAAGTGTTTTATATTTTAACCATTTCATGAGTTATGTGTGGGTGTGAATGTGTATGTGAGAGTTGCGCATTTTAGAGTGTGTACGCCCATTGCTTTGTGTACGCGGGACCAAGGACGATGATTTTTCCACTTGATAAACGGATTGTAGTGTGATCAAGAGTTCTAGTGTGCTGTGCTGGGCTGGGGAGTAACCATTGGAGTGTAGTGACGTTTGCAGTGTTCACTTGGGGATCGCGATTGTCCTAGTGTGCGCGTGCTGAGTTAATGTGGGATACCCTTAAGGCTAAGGGTATCCCACTTTGTTTAAGGCTACCCTTCTTGTTTTGAACTTCATGCATGTATTGCATGTTAAACAAGTATATAATGTAATATGATAACAAGACTGTTTTATTTTGGTGATGATGTGTAGCCAGATATATCAGCAGAGCGCGTGCGATTACCTGCGTCTGTCTTTGAAGTCGTGAAAAGGTTGCCGTGTACCGTCATTTTAAAACCACAAAATGTATTTTTCTGCTTTAAAAATAGCAAAAATAACTGTATCTATGTTATATATTTCTATTAGATGTGTATTTACATTATCCCGACAGTTTCCACCAACTTTCAAATACGGAGAAATAGTTTAATTCGAAGACACGGGACGTTTCTTTATTTCCGTTTCGTCGCCCGTTTATGGCGTCATATAACCGTTGACTCCTCTATTTTCTCTAACTTCCATGCATGCGGGAAGTGTTTACAGAGCTTTATTTAAATTTTCAATTCTTTGCATTTTAAAATCAACAATGTCTGGTTAGTAGTCCCAATGTAACAAAAGGCATAATTAAAAAATATGGTGCTTTTAATTAAGTGATTTAAAAAGCAGCTGCAAATGTACAAAATACACATAGGCTACCATACTCATCTTTGCAACATTATAATGACACTTTAACAATGTGTTTTTCTACCAAATTACATGTAAAATGTAGTTCATTTAACTTGCAGTGGAATGTTTTCCTCACCATCTTGTGATTTCGGGGCATGTGAGTTCCCGCACCTAATGCATAATAGGATACGCTCCAATGCGGTATTCAAGATAGTCTACATTTAGTGCGTGTTCAGGGCATTGCGCGGATAGTAACAAACGGTTTTGAGTGTAGTTCACCCAGAATGAAAATTACTGTATGCAAAAAAATTCAAGTTTATAGAGTTTTAGTGTCGGTGGTACTACATTAAACTACTGTATTATGTTGAGTATAATAAAGCAATGAGGGGGATATTTGTCAGTTCTGATAATGCCAAATGTCCTATGTTACCAATAACATTGCAAGCATATTCATCTAAATAAACATCTGTATTTTCAGCTTCAGAATCATGAATTCTTTTTATTCTGGTGTCTGTGGTCCTGTGCATTGGTTTCCCAGCACCAAGTCCAAACCTTTTCATTTCCACTCCCAATGTAATACCAAATTTAGCATTTTAATCAACAGTAATTTCTTTGTTTACCTTTTACCATATGTCTTGCAGTATCGCAATATCATTCGATATTCGGAGTTCACTATTATGATATATATCGAATCCTAACATGAGGGTATCGTTACACCCCTAGCCCAAAAGCTACTTGATCAATGCCCTAATTGATCAAAGGCCTATTCCTGGCTTAATCCAAGCCCTGTCTGTGAAATCAGACCTTTGAGATTAATTAACTTAAAAGTTACTTTACTAGATAGAAAAGGTGGGCATAAACATTTAAAATGTGTAAATTAGTATAAAAACAAACTCAGTATGTGTTTTCTTATTGATTTTGTCAGATCTCCTCCTTCAGTGATGCTCCTCCTCCACCAGTGAAACTCCTCCTTCAGTGAAGCTCCTCCCACTGCAGTTCACCAATAAACGCTGGAATATTTCCCTCAGCTACAAGTGAAGACGAGCATCAAACCATCAGGAAGAGCTTACACAAACACAGAGTTTATTGAAGGACACTGAGAACATGAGATCCAGAACACTGCAGAATGAAACATACTGAAGAACAAAGAGGTTGGTGTTAATTCTTGATTCTGTATTAAAGGCACAGTATGCAAGTTTCGCCACTAGAAGTCGCTTATTCTAAACAAAGGCATAGCTTGATGATGCCGTGAATGAGCGTGGAATCATTGGAGGTCTCCATCCGACCACCGCTTCGTAAGGTCCCCTCGAACCCACTATTTGTCCAATAACCCACTATATTTACCAAACGTCCCGTTACCACTCCCAGGCCATGCTTCCATCCCACAAACCCACTATTTGTCCAATAACCCACTATATATTTTTAAAGTTTTTCCGCAGTTCATGCAATTAGCTGCAATTGGGCGCGATCCCACCGGCAATCTATTGAATGGGGATTTGGGTAGTGTTTTTTTTTTGGACATTTTAATTAAAGTTCCTGTCATGATAAAAACTATTTTACTGCACTCAGCTAGGGCCCCCGAGTCCGTAGCACCAAGCGCCGTCCCATAATTCCACCGTCCACGAACCCAATGGCATAAATGCTACGTGGGATCTCAATATCTCAGCTCTGGAAGGGTCTAGAACCCCCATTTTTGCACTCAGGTTTAAGTCTCATGGCCCTCTATCAGAATCCAGAGTTTTGAGAAGATTGGGGAAACTTGATTTTTCGCCCAAAAAAAAAAAACGTAAGGGGTAACACTGTCGTTTTTTTTTTTTGGAGTCGAAATTTTGAGTTTCTCTGATCTTCTTGAAACTCTGGATTCTGATAGAGGGCCATGGGATTTAGACCTGAGTGCAAAAATGGAGGCTCTAGACCCTTCCAGTGCTGACATATTGAGATATTTATAATGGCATAAATGCTAAGTGGGATCTCAATATCTCAGCTCTGGAAGGGTCTAGAGCCTCCATTTTTGCACTCAGGTCTAAGTCTCATGGCCCTCTATCAGAATCCAGAGTTTCAAGAAGATTGGAGAAACTTATTCTTTCGCACCAAAAAAAACCCACAGGGGTACCACTGTCGTTTTTTTTGGGTCGAAATTTTGAGTTGCTCTGATATAGGCAAGGTCTGCTCTCTGCCACGCACGTTTACAGCTTTACCGTTAACCGTTTTATACCTCGACGGTTTATTTGCCAGGAGTTATTGTTCGGCTTAAGCAAAATGTGGGTTTCTATTATACTCCAGCGGCAAAGCACAGCTAAAGCCTTTAATATCCATTTATGAAGATATTCATTTCATATTCAGCGAAATTCATGAGGTAGAAAATAGGGCTGAACGATTAATTGCATTTGCGATAAAATCGCGATATGATGAAACGCGATTTTGTAATCGCAAGAGCTGCGATTACACTGGTCACGTGACACGCGAGAGAAAAGCAGTCTGCAAGATAAAAGCATCAACTTGCCACGCTACGCGGTTTGGCGTTCAGAAAAGAACAGTTTGTTTTTAATGTATGTGATATTGTGTTATTTATTCTCTCCTCAACAATCCTGGATCGATTCAGAGAATTTCAGAATCGAGTCTGAGCTTAGTTTTTAAACACAGATGCGTGATGATGCTGCGCGTGCTTTAGAAACGAACCGTTCTGCTTGCTTCTATTTTCTCGCTCTCTCTCTTCCTCACTCACACACACGACACCGCTCGAACCTTCCGAAACATAGTAGCGTTATTTCATAAAGTTCGGGATTGAACCGAATTACAAGGACATTCGCGGGCTTCATTGAACAGGTTTTGCCGCTTTGCTTGATGTTATAACGTTACACTTGCAGTGCGCGTTCTCTCCCGTGGGAATTTTCTTTACAAATGCTTCACAGAGGCATTATTTATGTCTTTTGGAATGCAGTTGGCTTCTATATTAAAACTATGAAAATCACTGAGAAGGCTGATTTCATTTTAAAATACTAACGCGTGCTTTGTGAAGAGCGCTCGTGCACGCGGCCGTGAGCGACTCATTGGTTAAATGTACTTGCATGTCAAAATGCTTTTATGACGCGAAATTAATGTGAACACGGTCAGTTATATCTTAAACCAACAGGACAAACCACATTTACAATTTCAAAAGAGATATATGCATTAGTGTGAATGCAGCTTATCATCACTCCAGCTCTTGAATGAAAAACATTCAGACAGCCTACTTTTAAATACTGAGACCACTCTTTGTTAATTGCTTGTAACGCTCTTTATTTACTAGCTTTTATATTTTGAAGCTATATTATTTTATATAGCCTATTTTAAAATTCTTAACATGTAATTGGTTTAATTAAATGTTTTTTATTTTTTAAAGTATGTGTTTTTACACAAGTAATTAAATACATATTTTAAGAGTTATTAAGATTAATTAATTAGATCGGATCATGAGCTATCTAAAGATTCCCATCTCTACTGTACAATGATGTATTGCTTGTCTTTGTCGACTAATACAGAAGGTAAAGAACTTTTTTTTAAATCGCATATTAAATCGCAATATTGGTTAAAAAAAATCGCAATTTTTCTAAATCGTTCAGCCCTAGTAGAAAATGTTATTATAGAGCCCATGAAAGCCAAAATGAGCCAATTGAGAAAGAAAGTTTGCATGTGCCTTCTGTGAGCACTGTCTCTCCAACCAAATGCCAAAAGTATTTTTTTCCAAAAGGAAGTCTACTGTTTTCATGACCATTGTCTTTTCACACAAAATGACTTGATTATCAGAAAACCTGATAAGCAAAGCCCAACTCATGCCATAGGTTGCAGTGTAGGGCTGCATTTTCATACCTGTAGGTCATTTTCTGTGTTCTGAAGCACGGATTTAATTTTTTACTCGTTCGGTTTGCTTTCACAAGGCAACATTTCAAAGCGTACCAAAATGTGTTTATGCAAGCCACATGTATAAAACGATCCTCTTATTGGTCAGAGTTCAACCAAAGAGTATAGAAGAACAAGAAGCAAAACTCTGATGCTTTTTTGGTAAAAGCCACTAGGTGGCGCTTCAGGAGCGGGGCCGCCATTTTGGGGTGAAAATTCCAACTGGAGTTACTGGACAACAGCATAGATAACAGTTTTTTGAGGTAGTTTTTTCTTCTAATTTTTCCCAAGCGGCAAAATTCTAATCTGAAAAATGAAGCCTACCCGGAAGTGGGAAAAACTGCAATCCATCGAAAATCCGCTAGAGGCCGGTCCCAAAAGGGGGTGAATATCCATAGACCTCACATTAACTCTTTCCCCGCCAGCGTTTTAAAAAAAAGTTGCCAGCCACCGCCAGGGTTTTTGACGATTTTCGCTAAATTTGAATGCCCCGCTGAATATTTTCTTCCATGAATATATGAAGATGATATATATAAAAATAAAGATCTGAGCCTCTGCTTTTAGGCAAAAAAACCCTTTTTATTTTATCTTCATCTGTTCTTTTTTTATTGCCTCTTGAACAGAGGTAGGTTTTGTCAAAAACACAACATTTTGGACAAAAAACTGAGAAAAAGGTATTTTTATCAAACAAGTGCATTTAAAAGCAGAATACATTCAGATGTTGTTTCCTTCATATATAAAACTTTCCAAAATAAATTAAAAACATAAAATAAATGTAAAATATATCAAATTTCCCAGGATGTAAGGGAAATGTAACTTTTGCAATAAAACTTCTGCCTCTGCCTCTCTGTGTTCTACCTGTGAATAATGAATAATTGGAATTACAATAAACAGGCCTAGACACACACACACACACACAAATACATATTACAATGTGGTAAATGTGCACAAAGAGAGAAATAATTTGACAATTACACCTTCATATTTAGACAGCCACACATAAATGCCTGCACACACACATAAATATTATAGTGTCATAATATTATACGATCTATCTGCGGCACGTCCATGGCTAGAACTTTCTGTGACAACACGTGCATCTCTCTCACTGACTACTTCGTCCCGATCAGATTCAGAATTATCAAATAAAGAGTGATCGGACTCCGAGTCCATTAACCTCCAGTACTTCAGCCATATACCTCTGCATTGTCTGTCTGATACATTCTCACTACTCCACTGTTTGAGACGATTGCAATCTGTTTCTCTGATCAAAGAGTTGCGCATTCATTCAGGACATGCGCGCGGGTCTTCCTTACCGTATACCACCTAAAACACGGATACCCGGAAAATTCCGTGTTTGGCGCAGATGCGTTTTTTCATTAAACCCGGAAAATTCCGTGTTTGGCGGGGAAAGAGTTAAAATGTCCGTTTTCACAGCATCAATTCATATGTTTACAGTTTGACTTTTATTGTATTTTTCGATAGGTTCCGAGTGCCTGACAACTGTGAGGTGAGTGAATTTTTTTCTAACTCGTTAGTTTAGATCGTATTTGGATGTAAAATGTATGAAAAATAAGGGCGGTTAACTTTGATTGACAGCTGATAACGGGCTGCGCCGAGTGGAATTGGACGTCTTGGCCATGATCTGACACGACGCATCTCTGTATCCTTTCTGAAACATTTGTATTTCTGAACATTTGTATTTTGTATTTCTCAAGATTTTCTAATATGGTGCCGCCCATACCCCCCATAAACAGCCTCAAACCTGTTCTTCAGAAAGTCTATGAGTGACGTCACAGACGCTTTGTCTATATTTTTTACAGTCTATGGTATTTCCATTGTATGCAACTTTACACATTTACTACTTATATTAGTTACCGACTCCATTAGGCCTGAAATATATTTTGTACGTTTTAATCCCCTGGATCATGCTACAAACATGATGATCATTGATGCGCTGTGTCCGTTATCCTATAACTTTAATTGCCACTTTGAACAGTGGCTGTGTTTTTTTTTGTTTACGTAGTTTTGTTTTAACGGTCATTAATATAAGATAATACTGCGAAATACTTGTGTTGCAATGGAGCGTTCACTTCTTGTCAATATACGTTCTTTGGTTCAACCGTTTTCATTCCTCAAGATGGACAGAGATAATCGCTCCGCTGGCTTTGTTTATTCGAATGTAGCCTTGATTCCTGCTCTGACTGATAAATTAAATATTAAAAAATATATTACATTTATGAAGCAAGTTAGGCTTCGTCAAGACAGCATTCTTGCAACACGGAATCCTGCACACGTTTCTCTTATGAACTGTCTCAGAGTCATTCTTTGGTAACACTTTACTTGAAGGGGTATGCATAAGACTAACATGATGTATTATGAATATGAAGGAAGGTTTATGCATGTTTGTGACAACTGTCATTAAGTGTCTTTTGCTCAGTTATGAAAGTTTTAATGCAAATATGACATTGTTTGAGATGTCTTTGTTATGACACCTTGACATTACCAAGCAGGGATGGAAATCAACTCTTTTGTCCACCGGCGGCCACTGTGGATTTCAAAATCGACCAGCCACTCGACGTGTTTACTAGCCACTTTCTTGTTTTTAACCGACAATGTGTAACTGGTAACACTTTACAATAAGGTTCATTAGTTAATGTATTTACTAACGTGCACTAACCATGACCAATACATTTGTTACTGCATTTGTTCATCTTTGTTAATGTTAGTTCATGAAAACACAGCTGTTCATTGTTAGTTCATGTTAGTTAACGGTGAATTAACTAATGTTAACAAGATTTTAATCAAGTATTAGTAAATGTTGAAAATAACATTAACAAAGATTAACAAATGCTGTATATGTGCTATTCATTATTAGTTCATATTAACTAATGTAGTTAACTAATGTTAACTAACGAACCTTATTGTAAAGTGTTACCGTGTAACTGCATGTGAAAGTTAATGTGTATCTACATGTGAGTTAATGTGTAACTGCATGTGAGTTAATGTGTAACTGCATGTGAAAGTTAATGAGTAACTGCATGTGAAAGTTAATGTGTAACTGCATGTAAAAGTTATTTAGTAACTGCTGTGAAAGTCGATGTGTAACTGCAGTGAAAGTCTATGTGTAACTACAGGTGAAAGTCGGTGAGTAAAGTGCATGTTACTGTTGATGAGTATCTGCAGATGAAGTTTATGAGTAGCTGCAAGTGGAAGTTAATGTGTAACTGCTGGTGAAAGTTGTTGAGTAAATGCTTGCGAAAGTCATATGTGTAACTGCGTGTGATAATTAATGTGTAACTGCAGGTGAAAGTACGAGTAACTTGAGGTGAAAGTATGAGTAACTTGCAAGCGAAGTTAACGTGTAACTGCAGTGAAATGGTGAGTAGCTGTACGTGAAGTTAATGAGTAACTTGCAAGCGAAGTTAATGAGTAGCTGCATGCGAAAGGCAACGAGTAACTGCAGTGAAAGTTAATGTGTAACTGCATGCGAAAGCTAATGTGTAACTGCAGTGAAAATCGATATGTAACTGCATCGGAAAATGTCCAGTAGCTGCATGCGAAAGGTAACGAGTAGCTGCATGTGAAAGATATGAGTACTTGCATGTGAAAGACGAGTAGCAAGCATGTGAAAGATAATGAGTAACTGCAAGCGAAGTTAACCGGTAACTGCATGTGAAAGTCTGTGTAACTGCAGAGAAAGTTGATGTGGAACTGCATCTGAAAGTTGATGAGTAATTTGTAAGCGAAGTTAATGAGTAGCTGCATGTGAAATGATAAGTAACTGCACTGAAGTTAATGAGTAACTTGCAAGCGAAGTTAATGAGTAACGGGCATGCGAAAGGCGACGAGTAACTGCTTGTGAAAGTTGATGTGTAACTGCATGTGAAAGCTAATGTGTAACTGCAGTGAAAATCGATAGGTAACTGCGTGAGAAAGTTGTTGAGTAATTGCAAGCGAAAGTTAATGAGTAGCTTCATGTGAAAGTTAACGAGTACCTGCCTGTGAAAAATGATGAGTACCTGCATGTGAAATGACGAGTAACAGCATGCGAACGATAATGAGTAACTGTATGTGAAAGTTAATGTGTAACTGCATGTGAAAGTTAATACTGGTAGGTTGGTTAATGTGTAACTGTATGTGAAAGTTAATACTGATAGGTTGGTTTGTGTAACTATGAAAGTTAATACTGATAGGTTGGTTTATGTGTAACTGCATGTGAAAGTTAATACTTGTAGGTTGGTTAATGTGTAACTGTATGTGAAAGTTAATACTTGTAGGTAGGTAGGTTAATGTGTAACTGTATGTGAAAGTTAATACTGGTAGGTAGGTTAATGTGTAACTGTATGTGAAAGTTAATACTGGTAGGTAGGTTAATGTGTAACTGTATGTGAAAGTTAATACTGGTAGGTTGGTTTATGTGTAACTGCATGTGAAAGTTAATACTTGTAGGTTGGTTAATGTGTAACTGTATGTGAAAGTTAATACTTGTAGGTAGGTTGGTTAATGTGTAACTGTATGTGAAAGTTAATACTGGTAGGTAGGTTAATGTGTAACTGTATGTGAAAGTTAATACTGGTAGGTTGGTTTATGTGTAACTGCATGTGAAAGTTAATACTTGTAGGTTGGTTAATGTGTAACTGTATGTGAAAGTTAATACTTGTAGGTAGGTTGGTTAATGTGTAACTGTATGTGAAAGTTAATACTTGTAGGTAGGTTGGTAGGTTAATGTGTAACTGTATGTGAAAGTTAATACTGGTAGGTAGGTTAATGTGTAACTGTATGTGAAAGTTAATACTGGTAGGTAGGTTAATGTGTAACTGCATGTGAAAGTTAATACTTGTAGGTAGGTAGGTTAATGTGTAACTGTATGTGAAAGTTAATACTTGTAGGTAGGTAGGTTAATGTGTAACTGCATGTGAAAGTTAATACTTGTAGGTAGGTAGGTAGGTTAATGTGTAACTGCATGTGAAAGTTAATACTGGTAGGTAGGTTAATGTGTAACTGTATGTGAAAGTTAATACTGGTAGGTAGGTAGGTAGGTAGGTTAATGTGTAACTGCATGTGAAAGTTAATGTGTAACTGCATGTGAAAGTTAATACTGGTAGGTAGGTAGGTAGGTAGGTTAATGTGTAACTGTATGTGAAAGTTAATACTGGTAGGTAGGTAGGTAGGTTAATGTGTATCTGTATGTGAAAGTTAATACTGGTAGGTAGGTAGGTAGGTTAATGTGTAACTGTATGTGAAAGTTAATACTTATAGGTAGGTTGGTTAATGTGTAACTGCATGTGAAAGTTAATACTGGTAGGTAGGTTAATGTGTAACTGTATGTGAAAGTTAATACTTATCAGAGGTGGGGGACTCGAGTCACATGACTTGACTCGAGTCTGACTCG